CCACTGTAAGGCAGATTAGGAAGTCATTTAATCACCCACCCATCCCCCAGGCAGGAGATAGAGAAGCCTATCCAGTAACATGGACAAGAAAAAAAAGTATAGTCTTCAGCTGGCTCCAAGAAGAAGGATCATATAAACTTAAAGGACTAAAGTCACCTGCAGTCAGGCATACACTGCATACATTTGTGATCTCCATAAAGAAGGAAACATATATTTGCTATTATTGGAGTTAGTTTGAAATACAAGGAAACTGTAGTGTATTTCAATAATCTTTGATGAACACTTCCCAGAGATCCATACCTTTAAAATCCCACAAACACAAATTAGTAATAAAAAAGGAAAGAAATGATGCCAACAAATGTTTTTCACCAATCAATGCTGAAGATGAGTTTCAACAGGCATTCTTGTTGAGTATTTCTCCTCTATGGTAATAAAAGTAATTTATTAATAAAAGGGTTTTCATCTTATTTTAGATCACATAGATAAAATATTTCTTTGTATATTGGATAATTTACAGTCAGTTATTAGAGGTGAGAATATGCAGCTAATTATGTATCTGTCTTTTATCTGTTTTGAATAAGGTATGGATCAATAATAACTTTTTAAAGTTTCAATTTTTTTTGCTCTTATATAGAAAGCCAGCCAGCATTTTAAATTTGTATGTCATTTTCAACTGAAAAATCCAATCTCATTTCCAGGAAGTCTGGATTGTGTGATAGCTAACAGTTTAGATTCTAGAATGCAAGAAACTCAATTTTAAAGTCAGTGAGTTTTTGAGCAAGATTTTTATCCTCTTTAAGCTTCAGTTTCCTTATCTATGGAATAGAGCTAGTAATGTTTATCCCTTTGAGTTTTTGAGAGAATTAAATAAGGTAAGAGTATTTAACACAGAACTGGCACATAAAGGGAAGGATCATTGTTTTGTTATCCTCCAGCAGTGCCTGGAACATCACAGTTGATCAATAAATATTTGTTAAATATGTGAATGTATGATTATCTTGATTAGTTCTGACATTGGGGAAAATTTACCCAGTATCAGCCTAGAACACTGGCTGAATTTCTATTTCTCATTTTGCAAACAGTATCACTAAATCATTCTCAACTGTTACATAGTTCATCCTCCTGCATCCAACATGACCTCACCCAAACCACCAAAGACAACTGCCCCATCTTATCCTTAGAATCTTCCTCAAGAGGAAGCTCCCTAATCCTCATAGAAACAAAGACTCTTCCTTCCTCTGGCCATAAAAGGTGCCTGCTTCAACAACTACCTTTCTTACTCTCAATCCTACCTCTGCCACTTTCTTACCCATATTTCTTTAGAAATGTTCTGTATTTACTGTTTTTTCTCCAACTTGTCAACCTCATTTCGAAAGTTAATCCTTGTGTTTGTTCCCATAAACCAATGGGGATCACTGGATGCCACAAGCTAGCCTGCAGCCATGAGACATCTCATTCCAAGATACACATAAAGGTCAGCTCTACAAATCATCTATTGCCTGTAGACAGAATTCTGGTAAGGTTGGGTTCCATTTGGAAATATTTTTCTCAATTAGTATTATCTTCTTTTGAAGTGTTTAGGAATAGATCCTATCTATCCTGGTAGGAAAAAAAAAATATTCACATGTAAAATGATTAATGTTGTAAACTATTCTTTTGCTTTAATAGAAATTGTTTCTTGTTTGTGTGATTTGGTTAAAAATGGCAAAAGCATTGCATTTAATATTTTAATTTTTCTTACCTCTCTCATTCAGATATCTAGGATGTATTACGGCCTTGATAAGGACATCTTCAGTTGCATACACCTGAATTATCAACATCCTCATTAGATCCAAAGGGCAGAAATAAAAGCTTTAAACTACTTTGTGTGTAGATGCTTTTGTCATTAGGCCTGCCTTGTTTATTTGGTTGTTACATGCAAAGTACTAACGCTAAAGATCATAATGGTAAGGGCAAAGAGAAATGACAAAAGAAATGCTATAGAATTTTCACTTAAGTATTGATTTCTGGTTTGTGATATATAAATAAAAATGATATATGAATATGCATTTCTTGGATTACAGAAATTTTCCTAGTTTACTTAAAATGAATTATTAAAATAATATGCACATTGCAATCTTTCACTCGATGTTCTTAAATTTTCTGACCAAGTCAAACTAATAGTTCTGACTTTCCATACTGAAAAATGGTTGTTTGATTCCTAACGATGTAATAGGCAGGTGGTTTGAGCAGAAAACAAGCTGACAAAGGAAAGCACAGATTTCATTCAACTTGATATTCTGGTGCCTGCTCTGTTGACCTAAAGAATTAGTTAAAATGATACTGAAACAGGATGGCAATTCTGCAATGAGTTCACCAGAGAATGATAAATATCACAAAGAAAAGTCTCAGATCTCATCCTACTCTTTCTGACACTACCATACAGAAATCTGTCCCACAGGAACCACAATTCCTAGCATGGAAGTATGCATTTGACACCAGAAAGAATAAGAATGTTCTCCGGACTTGAAACAATCAAGGAATAATGCTGTCGGGAATTAAAATTCATAGTTTTAACTAGAACACTGTAGAATATATTTATTAGTTTGTATGTAGCAATGACACCTAAGAAGATGAGAGCTGGGAGAGAGATACTTTTGGTGCATGAACCAAGAAGAAAGGACATTAATTGGAGACAACTTATTGTGATGAGCAGATCTGACTATACATTGTTCTGGTAGAAAAGTATCAGCAGTTTAGAGGTTACCTAGACCAGGGATGGGTAAAATGAGATGACTATCCTAAAAGTGAAGGGGTAGAAAGTCACTGAAATAGTTTCTCCATCTCATATAGTAATCATTTCAGCCACTCATTATTGAATTTGAGTATTATAAATTATTGGGTTTGAGGACCAAATTGAGCACTTAACTATATGTTCACAATTTTAGCCATCTTGCTATAGTACGACTTGAAAACTGACTTCTTTGAAACTGTTAAATATGCAAGGAAGACAGACTGAAAAAGTGGGCCTTTCTGTGTAACTATGGAGATTCTTACCCCTTAAACAGAAGGAATTTTACAGGGGATATATATTTATTTTAATACTGGTAAATTAAGAGATTTGCAAAGCCAGAGGCACATTTAAGAATATTGTATTCTCTAATATATTCATAGTTTTTACTCATGTCACAAGACAAACAGAAAGGGGATAATTGGCAAATTAATTTAGACATTTAGGACTTGAATTTTTTTCCTGACTCATTCATTGAATTGTACCCAAGAATTCCATTAGAAAGAAACAAATATTTTAATGCAATACTTTTCACGTTTGATAAATAAAAGAGAGAGATTTACATTTCTCACCTTTCTTATCTAATGAAAACCTTCCAGTTTTTCTAATTAGAAGGGTTTTTGGTGGATTATGATTCCATGGATATTTTCTAAGTTATTATTCTGATTTCAGTCTAATGTTTGACAGTTAATGCTGGTGGCTAAGCAGGATGGAACTATCCTTTTAGGTGATCTAAACCCTCTCCTCCCTCTCAAGGATGTTTTTTTCGCTCTACATAAATTGATGTCACTAATAGAGAAAGATGAGTTTTGATTAGCAGGATAAAGCAAATGTATCATCGGAAGAAGCACCAATCTCTGTGATGTGATTTCAAAAGATGTATAGAGGGGCCACCAAGTCATCACTCTAATTAAATTTCTGTCATTCTCTTATAGAAGAAAGCCTTAAATATAAATATATCTAATATATTTATACTTACTGATTAGATATATTCAACTATGTTTTATAATGCAAATATTTGTTAATATATTGGCTGCTAATATTTTTGTGTGTATAAGCACTTATATTATTAGCAGGTTTGAATTGGTCTAAATCTTGAAATGTTGCCCACTGCAGGAATTCACACAGGTGGACAGATGTCTTTCTCAGATCTATGCCTCCTGTTCTTATTGTACCTTTGATTACTACAGAAGATTTTACTCCTGGGATATTCTCCAAGTGAATTTTTTTTTTATTAGTTTTGTTTCAGTTATTTACTTTGAGATAAGCTGGAAATCTATCTACTTTGAAAAGGAGGCCTTGCTCACATCTCTTTTTGGGTATAGTCTTTTTTTTTTTTTTTTAAATAAAAACATTATTTGGTAATTTTATAATTTCAAGTTATTTCTGTTCTTTTGGCATCCAATTCTAAATTCCAACTTGTGGAAAGCTGATGTAGGATCAAACGAACAGAAGATTTTCTAAATAAGACTCTTATGCTTTTTGAGCATGTGGCTTTAGGAACTAAGATATACGTCTAGTAGTTGGTGATATTTTAAATTTTACTTTCTCGACTAAATTATACATTTGCACTTCTGTTTAATGTTAGAACAGAAAACAATAGTGGCATTTCAACAACAAAAAAATCCTTATTTTGCCTTATTTTTCTAGATAGTTCTGGAAAATCAAGTTATCTGGATTTCCTAATTTCTTTTTGTTCTGCCTTCTCTTTCGGGGAGTGGATTCTGTCTAGAATAATTATTGTGGGTCAGTGCATAGGCAGAAGAGAGAGGAGCTTATTGCTTTTATTTCCTAGGAAGTTTATATGCTGAGTCCAGGAAACCCAGAATTTGGAAGAAAAAAATAATTCATTAGAATAAAAAGAAATTCACATTTTTCCAAAATTAATACCAACTTATTAAATAAATGCTTTTCCCATACCATTTTACTCAAAATACCATTCACACATTCTTTTACCCACACTGGTCCTCCTAACATTAATTGGTGCCACATATTTGACTTTTACTTCATCAAACTGAGTCGACATGGTTGTTGGAACAATTTGCTAATGGCAATGTCATACAGAGTTCAGTTACAATTATAGAATCATTTTGATAAAGTAGACTAGGGAATGCGTGTTTAAAATCCTGTGAATGGGAACTCTATGTTTGAGAAAATGTGAAACTGTAATTTACCTCTTCCAAAGAGTGTGAGAGAGGGGGCGGGGAGAGGGAGGGAGAGAGAGGGAGGGAGAGAGAGGGAGGGAGGGAGAGAAAGAGAGGGAGAGTGCGCATGCGTGAGGGAGAGAAAGAGGAGCAATGTACTAGAATCTGAGACTATTATGAAGTTCATTACAAATTTGGTATGAGCACAGTGCTTGGGATTGTGCATAGTGAGCAGTTATAAAATGACCTCGATGACTTTTATTTAAAAAGATGTTATTAAAACACTCCAGTTTCATTGCCATTAACTCTGCTGCATAGTTCAATGGTATAATTTACACAGTTACATTTTACTCAATACCAAAGGTTTTCCAAACTGGCCTTTTCCTTTTAATTACAATTGCAAGCTGGTACAAATTGATTTTTAGAGTCATGCAGAACTGCTTACACATCTGTTGGCATAACTCACTCAGGGATATAGTTAGATATCCCATTTCCCCAAGTGAGTGATAACTCTTCCACCACATAAGACTTCTGATGCACCCATTTAAACCCAACACTCAATGTGCAAAACTGCTAAACACAATGGAACCCTAAACTCATTAAACTCATCATAATCTTTATAAAGTTAATAAATTGCTTTATTAATAACTGAGGCTGACTTTAAAAATCTAGGAAGTTGCTGGACTGCTCAAGCTTAGTTAGTTTCTGATGGATGTTAACCTAATCAGTTAAAAATAGATACAGATATTTAGAGACTGATATTTCTTTTTCCTACAGCAGAAACTACACATTTCTGTCAGGTCAGGTCAGGTCAGGTCAGGTAAAGAAAGTATGGAAATTAAACAGGAAAATATTTTATGAGGTTTTGTTTCCATTGAAAACCAAGTAAAAAGCTCACGTCAATGTTTTAATTCAAAATTAAAAAGAAGAATGTACTCAAACTATTACAGATGAAGAAGACTCACTAGAGTCTCCTCTGTTCATTTGGTAATGAATGTAAGATATTCTCTGTGATGAGAAAGGCTGAATGACACCTGAAGTTTTAATTCATTCAACAAGCATATATTGATTACTTATTAGGTGCTGGCATATAGAATGACAATGACATGATCCCAAATATATGTTGCAGAGGTTGGTTCACCCTCTAATGATTTACATTACTTGTGGGTTAACTCTAAAAGCTTTTGAACTTTCAGCACTAATTAAGTGTAAAATTAAAGGAGTGTGTTTAGCCAGGACTTTGTAATATAGACACAAGTAGAACAGTGGTTTCAGTAGACATGTCTTCCTCTAAATTCACTCATGACCTGTACTGGGTGGATTTTTTTCTTTGCCGAGCCTCGTCTAACAGCTGCACAAGTTTCTTCTGGCTTCTCCCTTTTAATTAAGGGTTTTTTTGCAGGAGCCTTCATTCTCCACATCACAACTGGGTGCCGAGGCCCAGCAGGACTCTGAATTCGGATGATCTTGGTTGAGGCAATGTAAGACATTTTCACTGTTTGCACTACAGCATTCATTAAATTTTTGGCTGCTTGGATTAGGGAGGTGACGCTGTCCAACTGTAAGGGAAAAAAAAGGAGCTATTATTCAAGAATGCAACCAGGAATCTAAAGAGATTTAATGTTATTAAAACCAAAAGGAGTCACTTTGTTTGTTTGCACCAGAAATGAGTTAATCCACATTTTATATATCAATGTATAATTACATTAATCCATCCATCTATCTTTGAGTATTTAGTTTATACACAAATAGATCCATACTTTGTCTTCTAAGATAATATCTTAGAGAAATTAATTTCTTTCTCTTGGTTTTCAGTGAAATAGATTCTATAAATTCTATATAATATTTTAAGGTTCAGATGGTCATTGCTTTCTTTGTAATGGACCTCCTATTTGCAGATATGATACTGAGTCCTTTCTATAAGACATCACTGTCCACAATAAAAGCTATATTATGTTTTAGTAATTTTACAAGAACAACAACTGAAAATTCTTCCTCTCAGGTTATTCATAGTTTAATTATCATACACACATATGAATGTATACATGCATATATACTACTTACTTTCATTAATATTTCCAAAATAATTTTACCTAAAAGAGTCTCTTCAATAAATACTGAACTTTTAAATCTATCATGCAGGTTGATAAAATAGAAAAAGCCAAGGCTTTTCAGTCAAAGTTGGGTTTAAATTCCAAGCCTGCTGTTTGGTAACTTGGGCATACCACTTAACCATTTTTATGCTGGTTTCCTCAGATATTAAATTGGAAAAAAAATGTTTATTGGAGTTAAATGTGTAATGAACCTACTAGAGTGACTGCCAAATAGTTGATTATTATTAAATATCATTTTGTTTTTTAAGAAGACATAGGATTGCTTAATTATGAAGATGTATCAATAACATTACTAAAAGAAATGATCCTTTTTTTAAATTGTTATGATTTGGGGGTTGTTCACAAAATAATCTCAAGGAAAAATGGGATGGTATTCCTGGAATCTTGCAAAATACCTTAGAGCTAAGCCAAGTCGATTTGTTTTTTTCAACTAATGCCTCTTCCATTATTTTAGTTTGACAGATTGTCATCTACAACCAACTCATAGTGGAAGATGTGCCTCTCCTGTCACCTCTCTGTGATATGTGTTGTCAGGGTTGAGACTCAAACACCAGCCCTGTAGTAACTAAAATCCATCAGTCGCTGCCTGGCCTGAGTATTCTACCTTTGCAGTTTGAGGAGTCTCATCTCACATACAGAATAAATGAGCAAAAAAAAAATAGTAAACGGTTTTGTGCCTGGGGCAGTGGTCTAGCTGGCTGCTTCCTAGGAAAAAAATTTAATTAGCTCCACTATATGCCAAGCCTGAAATCCTTGAAAAGGTAATATCAAAAAATGTGTAATTCGAATGGTAGTAATACTTGGCAACTACACATCTTTAAGTCTTTTTACTTATTGAAGCCAGAATGTAAAATCTGTATGTGTGACAGGAATGACAAATGTTTTATAAACATTAAAAAGGATTTCATGAAGCACTCATATGTATTTCAAAGGACACTTAGACATTATGAATCTGTACACAACTAAAAGAAAAAATAGATTTTGAATAGAATAACACAATTTGTTATTAATATTACTCCATGGACAGATTGTAGGTTAAAATCTTTAATAATTAACAATTTTCATTAAAAACTTCCTGGAGCCCACTTAGATTCTGACGTTGTTTCCAATCTCACCGTAGGAAGAAGAAAATTTTCAGAATGATGAATTTGCATGGCTAATATTGAGGATATTTGGTAAGTTTCACTTTCAAATATGAAAATATTTGGTTTATTCCGGGGTCTCTGTGCTATCATAAATTCTACAGACGGTCCTAATGACCTGCTATCATCCAGGATTCCACCAGTGGCTTTGGCTTTCTCACCCTAAAACTTATATTCTTTTTCCTTCCTTTTGACTCTGTAACCTTATCATGTATAGACTGTATTTATTTTACTTCTTTTTGATTTTACCATATAAGTGGTATATATAAACCAGTGGTCTCTAAAGGAGATGTTTAAGTTTCATCCATGCCATAAAATATGGAAACTGGCTACTGGCTTGTCTTCTTTCCTCATCGAATCAGCCAACATAGCTCTGCCAATGTCACTGTGATCTGCTATGCTAGCATCTGGCAAATCTTTTCATTTTAAAATCCTAAATAGCTGTAGTAAAACTTCTCCTCTGGGGGACTCAAAGAAAACAAAAAAACAGAAAAACAGGACAAATGATCCCTCTAGGGGAGCATGAAGACTAGTTTTGCAGACACATGAGGACAATTGCTACAAGAATACCATTATTTCAGGAGGAAAGCTTTAAGACATTCTATGAGGATCTTTGAGGTTTAAGAACACTGTGCACTAAGATGCATAACTCACTGCTATTAGCCAAATCACAAGCCAGACAAGCAATGGGCACAGACAAGCCTAATAAATGGTAGAGGATTTTATTGGAGGCCCAAGCAAGCAGTGGTTCAGACCTACTGATGAAGAATAACCACATAATTCTATGTCTGTAAAAAATTATTTTAAGTCTCCTTACTCAGTTCTACTTTGATGAAAAAATCCTTCAAAAGAAAGATTCAATAGAATCCTTTCTATGAAAATGAAGGCAAATTTGAGTAGGGTCTCTGTGTTCAACTTATTGAACAAAGTTTTCTGAGTTTCACAAACATATCTGTACAAGACAGAATGTTAATTTACTTGAAAAATTTGGTAATCAGACTATTAAACTCAGGTCCAAAAATTCTTTTACCATTACAAATCACTTTCAATGGAAAATTCTTCTAGGTAAATATAACTTGAAATACTTAACCATAGAAGGAGTTATTTTCCCTAATATCTGGTGGTGCTCCACTCTGATCTAGATGAAGTGCTCTTAATCAAGGTATCAAATGAAAACAAAAATGACTTCTAAGGTCTTCAGACCTTCTAAGGTTATATGTAAATATCTGCATGTACATACATAAAAGCAGCTTCCTACCCATCTCCCCTTTCCATAAATGAGGTAATTTTACAAAGAGGATTTTGGCCTAAATTAAAGGACTCTGCTCTAGATAAATCAGAGGCTTGCCCTGCTACCACAGTAAGTAGCAAGGTATCCACCCATCCTATGTTCATGAATTGTGCTTATTCTTACAACAAAATAACAGCTTGTTAGTCTATTAATGACACAATATATTTCTCATATTGTCTATGTTCAAACATAAATTGGTAAATTTTACCTCATTTTTTTGAGGATCTCAATGAATATAAAGTGATTATGTTCAGTAAGTTAGCTCTTAATCTAAGTGCAAGATATATTTGCAACAAATCAAATTATAATCATCTAAATAGAGTCCTACTCAATTCTACTATTCTATAGGAATCTTATTTTATTTTATCGTAGTGTTTCTTCTCTGCTTTGTAGTATAAACTTTGTGATTTCAGTTAAGCTGCAGTACAAATTTGTCCAGTTCTAAAATGTTTTTAGACAAAAGGCTCAGTCCTACTTAGAGATATATCTACAACCGTTTGCTACAGAAAAGGAGTTTAACAAAAACAAAAGGTATATTCTTTTTCCTCATAAAATGCCAAGCCAAACTTATATCCATGTGTCTAGTATACATAAAACATCTGGATCTTTTTACAAAAACCAACACTATATACCTGTGATGTAAGCCTTGACAACTATGTCAAACTGGAACGTCTGCTGGCAAACCTTTGTCAAAATCCTATTGTAATTACTGACAGCCAAAAGAAATATTAAGATAAAAAAGACATTCTAGTTATTCCTTCTTTTATTTTCTAAGTTTCTCATCTATCTTGTGTCAGAACACCAGAATGTCCTATACTCATACTACACTACTCTCACTCCCCATATTCTGGACACAAAACCATCATCACTTATATGTTTGCCTGAGGATACTAAGCTTAAGTGAACCTTCTTCCCATCGACGTGGATCTCATCTCCTTGCACCTGGTCTGTCACCTAGGGAAAACATAGCTTCTCAATCCCTGAGTGAACTGCCATGCCAATTACTGCTACTGGGACTATCGTGGAGAGAAAAGCCTAAAGTTTCCTGGGAAAAAAATGTATTTTTGGGGTAAATTGGGGCTAAGTGTAGCCCATGATATTTTTTTGACTCTCAATGTTTTCCTGAACTTGATCCTTTATGGACGTTGCACCTGCAAAAATGCAGTACTAAAGGCAAATATGGGGAGTTTGACTCCAAGTATAATAACAATTTATAAATATTGCTAATATCTATTGTGTGCTTCCTATAGGTTGGTGCTGTTCTAAGCAGTTGACATAAATTAACTCACAATAACTTTATGAGGTAAGTATTGCTATTATCTTCATTATGTAGATGAGAAAAAAAAAGAAACTAGAAGTTAGCTTGCACAGAGCAACATAGTGACAGAGCTGGAATTTGAGCCAAGGCAGTCTGCTATAAGTATAGTGCTCTAACCCATTTTACAACACTGCCTCTCAGTAATATGTCACTTCCTATGTGTATTTATTTTAAGATATTAAATAGTTGAAACAATCACACTAACATTAATATAATGTCTATTTTTTAAAATTGACTACCCAATAACTGCTTTTGAGAAAGTTATAGAATTTTTGTAATGCATATTGGTACTAAGAAAAATGAGGGTATCTTGCCAAGGTATTTTGTTAAGATGGTGGTTTGATAATGTTTATATTGCATCATGTTCCATATAGCACATTTTTTGAAATAGCATATAGAAATAGTCATCCTTATAGGCCCCAACCATTTAAAGACTTTTATTTTTTGTATTTATTTATTTATTTTCATTATGGTGACATTGGCTAACAAAAAAACAGTAAGTTTCAGGTATACAATTTAACAGTAAGGTATATATATACATATATATACACACACATACATACACATGCATACATTGTATGTTCACTGCCCATAGTTAGATTTCTTTCTGTCACCACATATTTGACCCCTTTTACCCTATCTACCTCCCCTCTCCCCTCCATCCTACCGTCTGGTAATCTCTAGTCTATTGTCC